TTTTTATTATTTTTATAACTTTTTGATAATTTTTTTTTTTTTTGAAAAAAAAAATTTTGGCGAGCAAAAAAAAAAAAAAAAAGAAATTTCGAATTTAAATTCCATCATCTACTTTATGAAAAGCGCATTACGATGTAAACACATCAAAACAACCACACACGTGCGAATCTCTTATCATCATCAATCGTAATAATAATGAATTCGATTGCATCAAAAGATTTTTGTGCTCGTTGTGGTTCGGTATTACCGTTACCAACTTTTGAAGATTTTTCATCATCCGTTATATGTCCAATCTGTAATCTAACTGTTGATGCTAAACATTTTGATGGACAAGCAACAACCGTACAAAGAATATGGTTTAATCCACGATCAAATCTAAATAAACAACGAAACAAAGAAATCAATGCTGATGGTCCAGTTGTTGAACGTAAATGTGAACGTTGTGGTCATGATAAACAAACATTTGCTACATTACAAACACGTTCAGCTGATGAAGGCCAAACCATTTTCTATACATGTTTAAAATGTGGTGCTAAAGAAAATGAAAATTCATAATTTTATCTTTTATATTTTTATTTAATGAATATAATGTAAATATTTTCACAATATAAATTTTATGAATAAAACATATCAAATAAAAATCAATTAATGAATAGATTTACCACCATCAGTAGATGTAATTTGTTCGGCTAGATCGGCAAATTTGGCCATCAAATCGATTGAATTATCTTCGGCAAACGTATTCATATGTGTTTCAATCTAATAACAATTATAATTAATCAATGATCAATGTTTTTTGAAACATTTATACATACATCGGTAGGCAATGGTGCTAATGGAACAAGGACCGGTTCAACAGTTTTGACCATCGACGACGATGATGATTGTAGTGGATGATAATCATTCGATAACAGAAATGATCCATCCTGTGTGGAATTTGAAAACCATTCGTTTGTTTTATCCATTTCCGTCATTGTAACAGTTGAATCAGTTTGAATGGAAAGATTCTGTGTTGATGGCATTAGCTGAAAGTATGTTGTTGAATCGGTTGTTGTTGATGATGATGATTTGGCAGCTGTCTCCAATTGAATTGGTATTAATACTGATGATGATTTTTCTGGATTTTTTACATCATTAGTCATAGCCGTCAATACAATCTGTTTAGGTATTGTACCATCCACCGATTGTCTTAGATTTGATGCTCGTACAGTCAATAAAACAGTTGATTTTGATGTCGGTTGTGGTTGTGATAATGAATTACCATTCATATTAAGTATCTTATTCGGATGATGATTATTATACATAAATTTATTCACTGGTCTTCCGGCACGACGTCCACGAATTTTTAATTCTTTAAGAACTTCATCAATTTTATGTGGATCATCAACCAATACGGCTGTAGTACGATTATTCTTTATCGTTTTTATTTTCTCACCATTTTCATTTGAAACTAAACATGATGATTTATTTAGATTGGATTTACTACTATGACCAGATTTGGTAGCAATTATCGGTTTTGAATTTCGTCCATCTTCATCACTTATATTATCATCATTTTGATTAGATGATTGTTCAGGATTATTAGTAACATTATCATTTAAAATTGTTTCCTGAATTAGATTCGATAATAATTGTGAATTTGGTTGTTGTTGATTAGTAATGGTGTTTGTTGTTGTTGTTGTCGTTGAATTTTTGTTAGCTTGTCGTTTACGTAGATTCGATGATGATATAGACAGATTATTATTATTATTATTCGTTGATTTTTTATAATTCATTAATGTCATTTCGGCTGCTATCAAAAATTTTTTCAATGTATTCAATGGTTTTGATTGAATTTCATCACAGACTAATGAATCTTTTTCATCAACAACAATCCAACTATATTCAAGAGTTATTTTTTCCGGTTGACAAAAAAGTAGATATAATTCACCGATAGTAACCATTTTTCCTTCATTCAATGTCCATCCTATAAGTGCTTGTTCGGCTGTTAACATTTCTACCGTTTCGGTTAAATCTTTTGTACAGCTACGTTTACGATTCGATTTCGATATATCCGTTATTTTTATCGATTGATCATTATCGGAAATATTTTTCTGAGATGATTCATTATCACCATCCAAATCATCATTCAATATTGGTTTATTAACATCAACACTACCAACACCACTATCATCATCTTCATCGTCAATATCACCACCACCGGAAAGCCATTGTGCTAATGTTTGATTTGAAGGAGGTTCAGGTAAACGAATATCATCATCATCAATATCATTTACTGATTGTGTTGAATTGGTAATCGATTCTTGTTCATAATCATTTTTCCATTCTGAATAAGATTTATTTTTATCATTCATATAATGATTTCTAGGTGATACTTCTAATTCTTCATTCATTGAATCTAATAATTTAAATAAATCAATTGGTTGTGGATCATTACCATTATCATCATCTTTTTCATTACGTTCATCTTTATTATTATTATCAACATTAGGACATTCACAACATTCAATATTTGAATCTTTTGAAATAGCCGTCAAACCATTAGTATCCATTGAAATATTTGTCGATTTTTTAGCAGCAGCAGCAGCAGTTTTTTTATTCATTTTAGATTTTTTCATCAAACTATTAGCATCGTTGAATGTATTTTTTAAATATGCAGAAAGTGAAACATCAATTTGACCGGTACCATGTGTTGTTGAGCGATATGAATGATATGATATAGAATTTGCCGTCGATTTAAGTGTAACATCACAAAGTCTAGCTGAATTTTGAGCACGTAAACGAATACGACAATTATCATTATTCAATGAAGATTGATCAATTAAATCATTGTTCAATAAACGATTCGGATTCCAACGTTTTTCCAGATAACTAATCAATGTTGATAATCGTTGTTGCATAGAAAGTTTTGTTCGTAATCTTGGATTCTGTGCCAACGAATGTACACGTATCCAATCAGAATTTGTAGCTGGTATTAATTCGATTTGAATCTCTTTTGGCATTGATGGCTGTGTAGCTGGTTTATTAATTTTATTATCAATATTATGTATCTTTTTTAAGGCATTACAAACCGGTGTACGAATTCGAACATTTTTACCTTTCATCTTTACCACCGTATAACCATAATCAACTAATTGTTGAAGGCTAACATTTAATCGACAATCAAATTTTGGACCAAATCTTTTCCAAATTTCACCATAATTAATAAGGCCATAAATTTCTTGTATACCTTTATCAACATTAGCAGATATTTTTAATAATTGTGATATTTTATGCCACATACGATAATAAAAATGACGAACTTGTTCATAATTTTTAATCATTTCAGGTGCAATACCTTTCTTTTCACAACGTGATGCAATATATGATTGAATATGAGGAAAATCTTTACCATGTTCACCGAGTGCTTCGAAAAACCAACGAATATCATCTTCAGTCCAGGCTTGAATTTTACGTAAAGATTTTCCCGAATTTGAATTCGATGTATTGGCTGTCGTTACAGAAGTAGTAGTAGATGAAGAGTTTTTAATCTGATTACAATTACTATTTGCTTCATTATTATTTAATGCAGTACTCGAAATATCTGATGTTTGATTTGGTTTCTGACCTGTATCAAATGCTGGAATACTGTTTTGATCACATTCAGAAATTTGAGCTTGTTGTTGTTGTTGTTGTAAATCATTATGATCCGATGTTGATGACGTGACTAGATTGGAATTCTGTTGTTGTAAACTTTGATTTAAACGCTTTAGACTTAATATTCGATTTGATTTTCTTCGAATATTGAAATGATCATTCGTAACAGGTAGTGGTGTTTTAAAATCATTTGTTGATGGTGGTGATTCTTGACCAGAACAAATATTTTGGTCATCAGGTGGTGATAATTCCTGATGTTGTTGTTGTTGATTGATCGATGAGCTAACATTATTTGGTGATTGTCGTTTCGTTGATGAATGTTCATCCAACAAACTATTACATTCAATCTCAACATCATTCGAACTAATAATATTTAACGGAAAAAAATTATTTTTCACAAAAATTGATTGATTGATTAATAAACTTACTTTTCTAAACGTTTTCTTTTGATTGTTCTCATTGTTATATGAAAAATTTTCTATCTAAATTCTACATCTTTATTGAGTATTTAACCGAAACAAAAAAAAATCTATTTTTCTTTTTTCTTTTTTCGACCACAAAAAAAAACAAAAACGAATTGAATACAACTTTGTTTTCAAAAAAAAGAAAAGAAATAAAAAAAAGAAAAGAAAATTTGGCGCTTTTGTAAACAAAAACAAACGACTCGTCTTTTAATGAAAGCTCATATAACCATACATATAGTACGTATATCGTAAAGATTTTTTTTTAATTTTTTGCATTCGACAACAAGGCGAGGTGTGATGAGCACAGTGGTCACCCGTTTTCTTTTTTTTTTGTCTTCTGTCGTCATCATTGTCGTCGTCGTCGTCGTTCATACAGCTGCTGCTGCCAGCCATCCATCCAACCTTATAAAACTTGTGTCACACACATAAACACGCTGTATAAGCTCATCATCGCAACGAACTTTTGTCTTTTTTTTTGGGAGAAAAAAGTTCATATTGGAAACAAACAAACAAAAATTTTTTCGATCGATCCACCCATTTTCCACCTTTAACCTTTCTTCCTCTTTATTTGTTTCAAAACTTTAGGTGGATTGTTCTCCCCGTATAGACATTCGAAGATTTACCTAAAAAAAAAAAATTTTCCAACGCGCGATCTTTGTCCTTTGTTTCACCTGTGAGCGAGTGAATGATTGTTGATGTTTTTCTTTGGATTCGTTTGACCATTATCGTAATCGATCATTATCACCATTTGCATCAAAGATTCGAATCATTTTATTTATTTTATTTTCTGTTTTTGATATTCCATATTTGTTGAATATTACCTTTTAAAAACAAAAAAATTCCATCCATGCTTTCGACGAATCAAAGTAAGTTTGTTTTGTTAAATAAGTTTTGATATTAAAATATATATGCCCATTTATAGACGCCGATTATATCAATGTACATAGTAAACGTAAAAAAGAAAATCTAATTACATTTGATCAAACATCACCAACAAAAAAATATAAAATATCAATATTTAATGAAAGTGATTTTCCATCAACAACAACATCTACCACGAATAATTCAATCATTAACAACGTGGCCAATAATAATAATAATCCTATACATAATAATAATAATAACGTTGGTAAAAAGCCAGCAAATCTAGAACAATGGCTTATGATGTTTCATCAATGGACAAATAATGAACGTATTATTGCATTAGATTCATTAGTTACAAATGATATATGTGAAATACAACAAATGAGACATTTATTATCAATAATTGAACCACAATTACAACGTGATTTTATTTCATTATTACCAAAAGAATTATCATTATATGTATTGTCTTTTTTGGATCCACCGGATCTATTACGTGCTGCTCAAACATGTCGATATTGGCGTATACTTTGTGAAGATAATCTTTTATGGCGTGAAAAATGTCGTGAAGAAGGTTTACTTGATGATCATGAAACATTATCCGATTTGTTTGCATCTCGTATATCATCAATCAATAATGGTCGATCGTCAAAAATTCTTGACAACAAATCATCACCAAAATCATTAGATGTTAAAAATAATTCATCATCATCATCATCATCATCATCTGGCTATCATGATCAGATACAAAAAAATGATAATAATACAGCAGCATCAGCAACAGCCAAATGTTCTGAATATAAATTAGCATATCTACATCATAAAAATATTGAATATAATTGGCGTTATGGTATACTTGATTATGGTACAAATATTAATGATGTTGATGATGATGATTCATTTATTGCATTAAATCTTTCAAATCAACCACGTGAAAATAATAATAATAATAATAATAATTCCATACAAAATGATAATAATGTACAACAAGCATTATGTGCAAATAATAGATCAATTAATTCATCAAATTTAGCTAATAATAATAATAATTCCAATTGTTCATCATCATCATTATCATTAACAACAGCAACAACAACAAATGAACCTAAACCAAGAAAATTAAAAGAAATATTACATTTAAAAGGTCATGAAGATCATGTGATAACGTGCCTACAATTTAATCCTACCTCAAATATAATTGTTAGCGGTAGTGATGATAATACATTAAAAGTATGGTCAAGTATGAATGGAAGATGTTTACGTACATTAGCTGGACATACTGGTGGTGTTTGGTCATCACAATTATCAATTGATAATATTGTAATATCAGGTTCAACTGATCGTACATTACGTGTTTGGAATGCATTAAATGGACAATGTTTACATACATTATATGGTCATACATCAACAGTTCGTTGTATGGCATTACATGGACCAAATGTTGTATCCGGTAGCCGTGATACAACATTACGAGTATGGAATATAAAAACTGGTGAATGTGTTCATGTACTTGTTGGTCATATGGCAGCTGTACGTTGTGTACAATTTAATGGTCAACTATGTGTATCCGGAGCATATGATTATCTTGTTAAAGTATGGAATGTACAATCTGAAACATGTCTACATACATTAGAAGGTCATACAAATCGTGTTTATTCATTACAATTTGATGGTCGTCATATTGTATCTGGTTCATTAGATACATCAATACGTGTTTGGTGTGCTGAAACTGGTAAAAGTAAACATACATTAATTGGACATCAATCATTAACATCCGGTATGCAATTAAGAAATAATATACTTGTATCGGGTAATGCTGATTCAACTGTACGTGTTTGGGATATAAATACTGGACAATGTTTACAAACATTATCTGGTGCTAATCGTCATCAATCGGCTGTAACATGTTTACAATTTAATTCAAAATTTGTTATTACATCAAGTGATGATGGTACTGTTAAATTATGGGATCTAAAAACTGGTGAATTTATACGTAATCTTGTTACATTACCATCGGGTGGTTCCGGTGGTGTTGTATGGCGTATACGTGCATCAAATACTAAATTAGTTTGTGCAGTTGGTTCACGTAATGGTACTGAAGAAACAAAATTATTGGTTTTAGATTTTGAAACACCACTTTATCCATCATCATCATCATCATCATCATCAACATCATTATTATTATCAAATTCATTTTTCTTAAATGATGATGATGAAATAATGATGATGTCCAATAATAATGATGGATCCAAATTATCTTCATGTGATTTTAATGATGATGATATTAATATGCCAAATAATGATGATGATGATGATGATAATAATGATGATAATAATTCATCATCATCAACACCTGTTACACCATTATTATTATTTGGTCAATCTATTTCCGATCCAATTAATTCCGAAACTAATACTACTACTACTACTAATCATTCAACAACAACAACAACAACAAATACTTCTACTTCTGTAACCTCCACAACCTCATCAACATCAACATCCGCATCATCATCATCGGATTCATTGAATCGTTTATCATCATTTTGTTATAATTGTAAATATGGATTTATTGATTTTGAAAAACAACAACAACAACAACAACAATCATCATCAACAACAAATTTATCGAATCCTTGCCATAATAATAATAATAATAATAATAATAAATCATTAACATCATCAATAACACCATCATCATCACAATCAATATTGAATTCGATCTCATCATCATCATTATCATCATCGATACAATCGTTAACATCAACATCATCGTCATCATCATCATCATCATCTACGAAAGACAAAAAATTGAATGATGATCAATCAAAAACAATTACAAATGATAATGATAATAGTCATGATTTGTATAATTGTTCTTCACAACAACAACAACAACAACAAAATAGTCCAAAATATTCAAATATGGATCTTGATACAAATATGGCAACTATTATAAATGATGAACAAAATAATGATGATGATGTTATTATGGAACATAAACAACAACCAAAACAACAACAAATTGAATCTGAAATATTGAACAATATTGTTGATAATTTGAATAATCCGGATCCAATTGAACCATCCATATCCGATAATGATAATGATGATGATGATAGCCAAATTTAGCATTTGATATCTTCACACATACATTTTTTTCCACACTTTTTTTGTTTTTATCTTTCATCAATGTATTTTATAAAAAAAATTTGTAATTTTTTTTTCTTCTGTGCTTGATTGATTGATGATTATAAATGCGCAAAATTAAAATTAATTAATTTTTTCTATATATAAAAAATAAGTAAAAAAAAAAATTTTATAAAATAAAATTATTTATTTATAAAATACAAACAAACAAACAAACCTCACTCCAAACATCCACCCACACACACACTCGAAATTTGTATATTCGAATAGTTTCCATATTCAGTTATCGATTTTGACGATCGATCAATCAATCAATCGATTGATTGAATCCCGAAGGTACAAATAAAACAACAGCGATGGTGATGGAAAATGTTTGTTTGTTTGATTTTGATTTTATTTGATTAATTTTTTTTTGAAATTTACACTCTATAAATGTATACAAAAATACCTAATTATTATTTGATAATTTTTTTTAACTAAATGAATAAATTATTTCTGAAATTTTTCAAACATTTTTTTTACTTGTTTCGTTGTTTTCTGAAACTTTCACTCGGCGTGTGAATTTTTCCAATTTTTTCGTTCGTTCGTTCGTTCGTTTGGTGCGAAACACACTGAAAAGCCATTGAACTTGAAAAATTTTTTGAAATTTTCTCTCTTTCATAGATTAGGTTGGATGACCCTATCTATACATCTTTGGTGGATTGTCAGGTTAAATGTTATTATCATGTTACAATGATGATTATGATGATGATAATAAGCAACGGGTCACGATAATTATCATGTCAGAAATTTCGTAAACGAAAAATTATTGATGATGATGATCAAACCGAAATAATAATAATAATAATAATAACCCTTTTCACAACCGAAAAATATAAAGATCATCTTCTTCTTCGGTATCCAATGATGTAATAGAAGAATGAGATGATAATGATTATGAATGAGATGATTTGATGATGGAGGGGGATTAACATTTATTCATTTTGTTCAACTTTCAATGAATTCTTTCGTTTGTTTGTTTGTTGTTTGGCCGAAAGGTAAGTTGTTCGGGATTGCTGGCTGTCATTCATTTTTTGAAAAAAATTGATGCTGAAATGAAATTCATTTTTTTCCAGCTTTTTGGTTTGAAAGAGTTAACAGTCGATGAAATGAAATGGTTATTGGCCTTTTCTTTTCTTTCTCTCTCTCTCTCTCTTGATTGATTCCTTCAACATGCGAACAGTTCATTAACATTTCGTTCTATTGACCAGATTGGACAGAACAAATATTTTTTTTTGTTTTGTTTTGTTTCGCCAATCTGGTGGTCAACAACTACTTGATGATTATTAAAAAGTTGGTAAATTTTTTTACCAAATTCAAATTCAAATGTTAAATTTTTCGCGGAAATCTTTTGTTTATTTTAACCCTAAAGTACAACCAACATATATAATATGAACAATACGGAAGAACATTCTGATCAAATATCCAAACACACACTCACACACACACAGGTGGATCATCAAATTGATCAAATTTTTAATGGATGAAATTCTTTGTTTTTCTGCTAAAAAAACCCTTGAGGGTTTGAATTTTTATTTTTTGTTGCTGCTGCTTTTCTTTTACCAACAGCCAAAATTATCAATGATGATAAATTTCTTTCCCCAAAAAAAAAATCAATCAAGGTTCAATCAATTAATCATCAGGTAAAGTATTAATCATTTATTTACATATTCAACATGTTTTTTTTCAAGAATAAATTTATAAATGTTCAAGCAACATTTGTTTCGTATGAAAAAAAAATCAATTGTTCATCGTTTATTAATTTATTCATTGAAAAATGATTGATTAATCATCGATTTTATTAGACAAATCAGACATTAATATCCAAAAAATAAATGATAAAAAAGTGTCAAATCAAATCAACGTTTCATCCGGCGACGACTACATTTCATTTCATTTTCATCGATTATATCATATTCATTCATTCATGTTTTATTTCTGAAAAAAACGATGAAATCATCGATGAGGATGATGTTTGTCTTTTTTCCTTTAATATATCCGGTGCATATGAATTTTCTTTTTGTAAAACATCAATGATGATGAAATAGCGATTAAATAACGATGATGATGATGATGATGGTAATAATAGCAATGAATGAAAATTTCCGGCTGGGGAATTTTGATTCTGATATTGTCCATCATCATCATCATCGAATCATCGAGTCATCGAATCATCTACGTTTGATGATTTATTGGTTATTCAGAAAAAAAATCTCTATTATTAACAAAACACGTGTACAAAACATCTTTGCAAACAAAAAAGATCCTCTTTTTTCTTTTTTTCTTTTCACAATTCATTCACAAAAATCATTCATTTTTTTGGGATTCATCAATCAAAAATTTCATTTTGATGGTGGCTTTCACTATAGTAGACTATGGATTTCTGTCAATTTTTTATTTGTTTTCTTCTTTTCCCCCCTCCTTCCTCTGTCTATATTTATCTTTGATGATGAATATATCTTGTCATTCAGATGTCAAGGAGATGATGATGATGATGAATAAAAAAACAAATTACTATCAAAATTTTTGGTGAATGAATCAATGAATCAATGAATGAATAATGGAATTTAATCAACAGAAAAAAACAAAATTTCATATATAAAAAAAATCGAAATCTATACTTTCTTATTCATAGACATATGCACTATGTATTGTTCTGATGGGTTAAAGAAAAAATTGAATGCAATCATCAAACAAATCATAATCATAATATAACCCATCTATCTGTCCTTGACATGAATAGGAGGAATATTTAAATAGGGAAAACAAATCTTTCCATTTTTTCGTTTTGTTTCGGTGGCTTATTAGGAAAAAAAATGGGAAAAAAATGAATTTTTCGTTTCTTCGTTTCTCCATTTCTTCTTCGAAAATAATGTTTCAATCACGAAATTTTTTTTTTGTACAAAAAGCCTAATTGAAAATCCAATCATCATAATCATCATCATTAATGAAATCAGATTCGTTGTTGTTGTTGTTTGAATTGATTATGAATTTCAATTTCAATCATCATCATTATCAATTATCGTTTGAGGATTACGTTAATCTTGAATGGACAACAATAGTAATCATCATTTATTTATGTATGCATGGATGGATGGATGGATGGTAGTAATTGTCATTCATTCACATTGATGATGATGATTTGTATAAATTTTCTCTTAGTTTCTCTCTGTCTATCTGTCTTTCTCTCTCTAAAGGTGTAAAAGCAAAGATTAATTGATTTGGCCGGAAAAAAGAATTACACAGCAGTGGTGAATATATTGAAAGTGAAAGAAAAAAAACGCAATTTATTAAATTCACACCCACCAAAACACTATCAATTTATTGATGAAGAAAAAAATCAAATAGTTACTATTTTGATGTTTTGAATGATCATCGATTTGAAATTATTGGAATTTGTTTTTTGATTTTTTGATTTTGAATTTTTGAATTCAGAAAATTATAAAATAAAATTAATTTATGCAATTTATGAATGTCTGTAATTTACTGTCATTTTTTTTCTTTGTTTAAGTAGAAAACGAATGAAGAAACAAAAAAAGATTCAAGTGCAAAAAATAGTCTATTGAATCCAACCCCAATCCTTTTTTGTTTTTACCAACATTGAATTTTTATTCATTGATCAATCTGGTCAATCAATTATTTGATTGATTTCATTCGGAAACAATGAAAAAACAAAAATTTGTATTTTCAATCAAATTTGTATTTTTTAATCAACAAAGAACGAAAAACGAAAATATTAATTCAATTAAGAAATTATTATAATTAGATAATTTATTAATCAACTGACAAAATATTTAGACAAAAAAAAAATATGGATATTTCCCCACAGACATTGTACGGCTATAGATCATCATTATTATCATTGTTTTTTTATTGATTCATTACATCCTTAAAAAATTGGAATTTAATGTCGACAATGATGATGATGATCAAGATGCGTTCCATCAATTCCAGAATTATTATTATTGCATCTTCAAAGTTTTTTCGTTGTCTATATTTATTTCAAACAGAAAAAAATGAGATATGAGAATTGAATGATGCGACGAAGACGAAGACGATGTTCAAGGTCTACACGTTTTTTCTTTTCTGTTTTTGTTGTTGAATGGATTTTTTTTCTCCTTTTTCTCCTGTACATTTCATTATCATTATTAAATTTTTTTTTATATTTTTCTGCATTCTGAATGGTGAATATGATGAGTGAACATTTGTAATTTTACAAAGATAATTTGGCTGATGATGAGCCTGGAGGCCATCCGGCCAAGATGAGCAAAAATGAGAAATGAGTGAAAGAGTTTGATATCGATTAAAGATCGATATTGTTAATGTAAAATAAACATCTTTTCTTCGAATCGATTGATTGATTGATTGATTTGATTTTGATTTTGATCGATTGATTCATCAACGGAAAAACATTATATGATTGGACAAATGAAAGGGGTTATAATGAAT